TGCAGGGTAACTAATGAAAAGGATATTCCCCTGTCATCAAATATCTCATATTGTGATCCACAGGGTCTTTCTGTTTCAGGATTGTTGTCCTCCTCTGGAGCAAGATGTCACTTAAATCAAGGGAAGTTATGGATGTGTTGCAACAATCAGGCTCAGGAATTATAGCTGCTTGTAAAGAAGTGGGTTATAATACAGTTTAATGGTTGCTGAGGATTAGGCAATACATCAAATCTCAGTTAAAATTACATACTCTCTTAAATGCATAAAAAAAATTTCTCATATTTTGTAACGTGTAAACCCAACTCCCTAAGGGTTGAACACAATACTAGTAGTTATTTTCATCAGGTTTGGATTGCAGACCACTCACAAGCAGTCTATGTTATACTCTGAAACATTTTTATAGTGTTGTGAGATATCAGAGAAGTGGTGTGATGGTGGTGAGCCCCAGCATTCAAAGCCTCCAAGTGAAAGAATGAGATTGGAAATGATCTTGAGAATAATCTATTTACAAATATTTCATTCCTATTGATTTTTAAACATTTTTTTGTGCTTTTAATTAAAGATCCTTACCCTCCACTGATGGTGCTGCTTTGGGGATTAGTTGTCAAAGAGCAGGCTGGCCTCAACACTTAATACCCTGAAGAGTGGTGGGAATGGAATTTGACATGACTGATCAACAGAAAATGGAGGAGGGAAGCGTATGAGGACAGACAGGATGCAAAGGAAGGAGTCTGGGCTGTGTGTCATGTGGGTGTCTCCAGGAGAGGTGTAGGGTAGATGGGCAGGCATAAGAAGAGGTGGGGAAAGTATGTCCAGGGCTGGAGAAACAACAGGACAAAGGCAGGAATGAGTGGAGGATGAATAGCACAGTATCTCAGCACCACTACTGAGCTCAGGTCTTGATTGCACTGCACATAAATACCACTGAGCCCCCTTGGCTACACATGTGTCACCCTCTCCACTGCCTTTTCCTCAGAGGATGATGGCTGGCTACAGCAGCTACATCTAGGGCAGGGGCAGTGCCTGTGCTGAATTCTGCTGCTGGCATGTCTGAGGGCATGTCTGCTCACACCAGGAGAAAACACTGGTGCTGCAAAATGATGTGTTAACATGTTAAAGATCACCAGCATGAAGGTTTCTGATTAATAACATGTTGCCAGACTATTAATTTTTTCGCCACAGATGCCTTATTCTGGCTTCTGTGACAAAGGAGGCCACAGCCTTCCTCCTAGCAGAAGTGGGGAATGCAGACTTCTGAGTGATGCTGTAAGAGGGTTTCTGGGGTGACCAGAAATTAAAGATGTTGAGCTGGGGTGGGATGAGAGAAAAACCCACAACCCAAGTCTTAGTGATTTCTTAGGACATTAGAGTGAAACCAGGGGATGAAAGAGGGGAGATTGAATGTAATACTGAGCAAAGAAATCCCTGCAGCAGTCCCTGCTGCATTTTGAAGGCATTTAAGGCATCAGCAGATGCTGCTTAGAAGGACTAGCATAGTGTATGAGGGAATCCTCAAGAAGATGGTCCAAAGCTTAAGACAGGCAATGCTGCCCTGAAGTATGTGGATTACAGCTCTCTCTCTGCTACAGCATTGCTCAGAAATATTGATTTACTTATTTATTATTTTTGTCACAGTCATGGCTAATAATTCATCTTTGTTTTCTGGCTCTGATTCTGCGTTTTGCTCTGTTCATACTCTATTTGCACTATTGCAGGGTTTGATTCTTCCTTGGCTGTGGGGTGGGTGTGGGAGCAGGGAGGGAAAGAAGAGAGCAGCTTTGCATCTCCTCTGAGGCAGCTTGCTGGCTCTGGCATTGTGCCTGGCGTGTTGAGGCACTGGAGACGTGACTCTCTCCTGCTCCCTTATGAGACCTGTCTGCTCAGCTGGAAAACATAACTTACCCAGCCACAGAGCCTTCCCTGTACCAGCTGTGTGACCAGAGTCTGGCTAGCAAGGGGTAAAGGGTACTCAGGTAACTGAAGACAAAATCAAGTCCTTTATCAATTTCTTTGCCTTTCAGCTTTACAGATGGTTCATAAAGCACTTCCCATCGGTGTTTTATGGTCTACGTCACCAAATCTGTCGTTTATGCATCTCAAATGCCCTGGTGGTGGGGTGCCTGAAAAGTAAAATATTTGTTCTGTAGCAGTTTATTCCATTTAATTAACTATGAAAGTATTCATCAGTGTAATTCCCCATTAAATTTGCTCTTTGCACCAAATCTCCAGGGGCCATTCTTGAATTTGCCAAGTGTGAGACATTTATATTGCTGAAACATTTTCTGTCAATGCCATTGTTATTATCAGTAATGTGGGTAACTCTGTCTACCTAATGCTATCCATTTCTGATCCTGTGTCCTTGTAAATGTAAATATATGAGTAGTGACATGGCACCTGGGGCTGGAAACATATGCAGGATCATGTTTTTACTGTAAAAGAGTCAACTGCTCTAAATTGACCCACCCCAATGGACTTCAGTGGATCTGTTCCAGACTCCAGAAGCTGAACATTTAGCATGTAGTAATCTTGTGGAAAATCAATGGCTCTGTGGATGACATCAGGCTATAAGCATTTATTTCAACACTTGCATTACTCCTAGTAATAGGGATTACAGAGGCAAAGATGTTAACTATGAATGGCTACTCTGCTGAGAAGAACAAGAAGAGGTAAAGCTATAAGGGCATGATCTCTTGAACTAGCTTCAATACAGTGAATAGAAATAGTTTTCTATTTATCAAGGTGAGAGGAGTATATTTTAGTCTACTTGAAAGACACCAATCATTAGGAAGAGAAAGTAGAGATGTCAGACTTTGTGTGGACCTACATAATGAGCATTTTCTCATCTCACCTCCAGGGGGAAAAAAATTTAAAAATATACACCTGCCTAGTATCAGTGGATAGACCAATTTTCCCCTTTGAGGCTTGAAAGCTGCAGCTGGATGAATTTTCTTTCTCATTAATTTGATATTAAAGCAACAAGAGACCTTCCTGACCATGTATGTCATCAAACCCCAAAATTATCTGAATTTTTTGGGTGTAGAAAAGGATGATGGGGAAAGGAAACAAAGTCAACGTGCAGTCCACACCTGACAGTCAGTAAAATCTGAGAAGTGAATAGGCCATGCATACTTCAATGAATACAAACAAATGATATATTGACAAAGGCTGCATTTGCATAAAGGCAAGCTTGAAAAGGACTTAAAACATCTAAGCCATTTAGAAGATGACTGAAAAGAAGGAAGAGAGTTTGATACAGCAACATTTCAGAAAAAAAGGCAGAAGCAGTGTTTAGTTTATGCTGGGGATTAGCAATTTAATTAGCTCAATCTTTAATGCAGGAAAATACCTAGTTAAAATGAGACTAGTTAACATTTGCAGGGCACTTGAAATATTTAAGTGAGGAAAGGACAGATTTTCATTGACATTTATGTGTCTACTAGATATGCTTTTTTTCTCTAGATAACAATTTTTTTAATAGCTTATGCTATTTGCTTCCAAAAATTAAACAGGCATTTATTTATTACGGTGCTGTTAACAGAAATGCTGGTGACTTTTCTTCATCTCAGTGACCCTCACTGTCACATACAACTGATCCCTAATTTCCTGATATTATTGTCTTGTTCACTGAAGACTGTGCCAAGATGTAAATAAAATGACTTTCTCTAGGCAGCCCACAAGTAATAAACAGCAGTGATGTTAAATGTGATCCTTGATCAGGCTGAGACAATTTTGATCTCCGTTGCATCTTTTTGTCATAGTGATTTTGTGGCAGGACAGTAGGGCTAGAAGCCCTGGGTCAGGCCATATCCAAAATTTCACATGAAGGAATAGACTGAAAGAACTTGAATCAGCTGTACGTGGTAATAATGACAAAATCACCATGAGAGACAGAACTAAGTCAAGTATTTAGCCATAGAGATCACATTTGTCTGTGGGACAACATACTTTCAAGGTTATACTTGCAAGCAGCTGGCCCATGGATTCACTGACAATTGAAAATTTATTCTCATCTTACTGTGTTAATGTTTCAGTGTGCCTTCATATCAGACAATGTAGGCACAGAGGGAGCTTTTTCTAATTTGCTTTCTTTGTGTCAACATGTTTTGTTTGTGCTGAAGATAATCTGAAATAAAAATGTACTTTTAAAATATGATTTTAAAAAAAAGCCCTAGCAATTCTTCTGTTTTTCAAAGCAGCTCGTTGTTTGTAATTATGTCATCCCACTATCTTGGTTTGTTTAAAATGGTTGCTTCTCTTCACACACAAAAAAGGAAAAGAAATAAAGCAGAGAAGTGTTGAAACAGATTTCTATCAAATGTGAAAAGGTAAAATCAACTTAAAAAAAAGCAGAGAGAACCAAACAATCATGTATTCCCATTCAAGTAAACTTTTGCTTTTTCTGGGACAATAACAACTGAAAAATTAAAAGAGAAATATATTTTGTATGATTATGTTCCTTTAGGCTTACTTTCTTCTATCTGCACTCCTTTAATGCAATGCGATTCTAGCTTTTACTGTATGATGTTTTTTTCTTTCTTTTAGTGGCTATGCAGTAAGAATGAAGCTTTGAAAATGGGACTCATACACAAGAAAAGCACTCTGTTAAAAAAACCCATGGTGGTTGTTTCCTTCTTTTACTTTTCCAAAAAAAGCTTAAAAATGTGTGTCCCATGATCAGTCATTTCAGATTTTGGATTATTTGGTTCAGTATTGTACATAAAACATTCACTGGTGCATTAGTGGAGAGCATGTCTTGCTACCTCTGTCTGTGTTCTGCTCAGCCAGAGCAGGCCATGAGTGCCTGGGTTGCTTACACACTGTCTTCACAGCTCTTTTGTGCTTAAAATCCCAGAGGAGAGATGTGCCAGGCCTCTGAGGTATTAAGATTTGGTCTTGATCATTTAAACTCTAAATATGGGCTTTAGATAAAACCTGTAGATGTCTAACATTAGCTTCTTTTTTTCTTGTGTTTTTTTTTTTTTTTTTACCTCTGATTTTAGGCTTACTTTAACCTTATCCTGTCCCATGGACTTGAAGAACTTTCCTATGGATGTACAGACATGTACAATGCAGCTAGAGAGCTGTGAGTGCCCAATTGCTTTATATATCAAGTAACAAGATTTTACCCTAATGTTCAGTGGTTCGATTGTATCTACATTGTGACATTTATGTGGTGAGACTCAATATTCCTCTTTTGTAAGGGAAAATCATGAAGGAAAAGTGATATTACTGTTCATCACCATAACGTGCAAGTCCCCTGTCTCTGTATTATTCCTGAGCCCTTCCCGTTCCCCTTCCTGGGTTACATCCTCTCACCAATCAGGTCTGCATCACTTCCAGGGATAACCACAGCAGTGCTGTGTGGGAAATTATAAATTCTCAGGAGAGTAAGAGCAACTAGTACATAAGCAGGGATTCACTATGTCCAGTTGAGTTAGGCTGTGGTCTTTTTGAAAAATGGAAGCAACATACATGATGAAGCAGAGGTCCTATTAATATACTTCAGCTGGTAAGCTGAACACAGCCAAGGCATGGACTGCCAGCTCACACCCATCCATACTGTATAGTTGCCAGCACACAGTGCAGCAATGTTCCAACCTGACCAGTTAACCATCAGACAAAACCAGGAGTGAATTAGATAGTGTCATGTGCCAGTGATCATTCCCAATATTCAGTAGGGACTAGGCCACCTTGGGTTTTTTGTAGGGATAGGAGAAAGGGTTTAGCTGTATAGGTATGAGTTGTGGGCTACCACCTGCCTTTATGCTCAGAGAATCATAGAATCATAGACTGGTTTAGGTTAGAAGGGACCTTGAAGATCATCTAGTTCCAACACCCCCACCATGGGCAGGAACACTGGACCACATTACTCAAAACCTCATCCAGCCTGACCTTGAACACTACCAGGAATGGAGCATCCACAGCTTCTCTGGACAACCTCTTCCAGTCTCTCATGACACTCACAGTAAATATTTTTTCCCAGTGTCTAATCTAAACCTACTCTCAAGTCTGAAGCCATTCCCCCTTGTCCTGTCACTACATGCCCTTGAAAATTCACTCTCCAACTCTCCTGTGGACTCCTTTAAGACACTGGCAGTCTGCTATTAGGTCTCCCCACAGCCTTCTCTTCTTCAGGCTGTACAACCCCAGCTCTCTCACCCTGTCCTCATAGTAGAGGTACTCTAACACTCTAATCATCTTTGTGGCTCTCCTCTGGACTCATTACAACAGGACTATGTGTTTCTCATGTTGGAGGCCCCAGAGTTGGGCATGTTACTCCAGGTGGGATTTCACAAGAGCGGAGTAGAAGGGGACAGTCCCTGCTTTCAACCTGCTGGTCACACTATTTTTGATGCAGCCTAGGGTATGGTTTGCTTTCTGGACTGCGAGCACACACCAGGTCATGTCCAGCCTCTCATCTACCAGCAGCCCCAGGTCCTTCTCCCTGAGGCTGCTCTCAACCCATTTTCTGCCCAGCTTGTATTTGTGGTTTGGATTGCCCTGACTCATGTGCAGAACCTTGCATTTGACCTTGTTGAACTTCATGAGATTCACACAGCCTATTTAATTTGCCCATGAAGATGCAGCATTGCAGTCAAAAAGACACTTCAGTGAATCAAGGCCTCTCTTTCCCCTCCACACTCTCAGTGCAAGGTTCACAGATCTACAGAAGTTGCAGTTTCCTTTTCAATAAGGGGCCAGCATTCTGCAGTATAGAAATCCTGGTTTCCTTGGTGCATGCCAACTCCATCATCAAAGAATGATTAAAATAAAGCAAAATGCAGACTCATGCATAGACACAGAGAAACATCATTTCAGGTGTAAACAGCATCTTGTGTGGGCCAGCAAAATTACTTTTTAGTGACAAACCAGGGCAGCATTTCTGAACAAAATTATGCTTACTTGTTGCTTTTAATAGAATAATAGTGCAGTAATAGCAACTGGCAACTAACAAGAATAGTGCTGTTGTTAATTGGACAGTTTCAAACAAAGTTTCAAACTTCATACATAACTGAGATAACATGTATTGCAATCAAAGACCTGCTTCTCAGACATAATTTAATTTGCTTGTGATGTTTTCCAGTCAGCTACTATCTAATTAACTCTGATTTCTTTATTGCAGTCGGCTACACTATGAATGATCTGATATTTGAGTGGCTAAGTGATGGACCTGTGCAAGTTGCAGAGGGTTTAACATTGCCACAGTTTATTTTGAAAGAAGACAAAGAACTTGGGTATTGCACAAAACATTACAACACTGGTGAGCATTATTCTAATTTTTTCTGCCAATTTCTCCAATGTTATCTACTGTCAATTTGTAAAGGGAAAATATGGGTAAAATGAAAAATAATAATTTGAACTTAAAATTTGGTTTCGTCCCACTTATTTTTAAATCCAAAAAAGATTGAAATTTTCTCCATTTATTTTTGTTTGAAGGATTTTGTTTCCAAATTTATTTAAAAGTATTCTTATTCTATGCATATTTTAACATCCTTAAAATCATTAAGGAATTTAAAGTTCTTGAAAAATGATAAAAAATCTAGTGGTTTTGATACTTTTAAAATAAAACTTTTAAACCAAACTGACTCCTTTATAAAATATAGATTCATCACTTTGAAACTACTGATTTTTCTGAACCTGATTTATTTCTCCAGCATATCAAATTGCCAATGAGGAAAAATATCAAATTTTCACCAGCTTTTATGTGTGGTCTAATTTATGATATGTAGCATTTAAAAGGACAGTGTTTTCTCTGCTGATCTGAATAGTGTATAGACATGAAATGTTGGGAAATTAAATGGTTTTTTAGTACTCTGAATTTTTTTCTAGCATTTGCTATTTTGTAGTTTCAAATGCTGTGTTTTCTATATTTAGCTTTACAAAGAAGAGAAAACTCTGTTAAATTGTTGATTTAGCTGCTTGGAGTTTATTTAATAGGGACAGCATTTAGAGAACAGTTTGCTGGGTGCTTGCTGGGATTAGATATAATCCCTATCATCTAAAATAGCTTTTTCATCATTTCAGTCTAAGAGCTGATCTGGTTGCATCAAACACATTTGTTTCACTCTGAAATAACACAATGTGAGAGGTTCTGCCTCTGCCAAAAATAAAGTCGCATTTATTTCTTATTAAAAGAAAATTATTCTTTTTAATTCCTATAAACACAGCTTCTCATTTTGGAGCCCAAAGTATCAAGGAAGACTTTGTGATTGGCACCCCCATACTGTCTTCTCTGTAGTATGTTGCTTTAGATTTGGTGTGAAATTAAAATGTGGATAAAGTCTGTTACTCACTGTCCAGGCTGTGCCACAAGAGTCTGGAGATACTTTGACAGGTTGGACTACTCTCATGCCATGGCTGCCAAATGTGGCCACCACACCCCCTTCCAGTTCCCTTCTGTATGGGCAGACTGAGCAGGAACAGTCACTGCCCAGGTCTCAGTAGCTCCCTTTAGAGTCACAGGTCCAGTCACTCATTTTAGAACTTCTGTCCTGTCAAAAGTTACTATTCAGTTCATCTCGCCTCCACTCTTTGCCAAACAGCCTCTACATTCTCCTTTGTGCTGACACTTGCACCCCACAGTTCAGCATTCTAGACTAGCAGAAAAATATGCACACATCACAAAACGGAGCAAACAATCTAATTTCCTCTGAAAGGTTGTACGAGGGACAGTGTATCTTCATGCATTTGACCAATCAACACAAAAGGGGTCCTTAGAATCCATTAGTATGACACTTCAGGAATGACAGGCTTCCTTGTAGTCTGCTTTGAGTGAAAGCCCTCATAGTACCTAAACCACAGTAATTTTGAGAGCAGCACAGAGTGATTGTATTTGTAGCTGATGAGCTGCTGCGGCTGAGGTGTCTGCAGCCCCCACTGCACGATTAGCTCCACTGTCATACAATCCAAAACTTATATCCTCCAAGACCCCTGTGAAACAGCTGGAGAATCACTCACCTCCCACAAAATATTGTTGTAGGCAAAATTCAAAGTAGACTTTGAGTCTTTGCTGAAGGACATAATCCACAGACACAGGAAAATGATGGTGGATGTTGGTGGATTCACCATCCCTGGAGGTTTTCAAGATGAGACTGGATGTGGCACTTAGTGCCATGGTCTAGTAACGATGGGAGGGCTGAACTCAATGATCTTTGAGGTCTTTTCCAACCTGGTTGATTCTATGATTCTATGATGAGCAGAATGAGAAGGGGTGTGGCCCACCACAGGACTGTAAAACTAGTAGTTTACAATTTGTCTTTTCAAACACAGTTGCTTAATCTCATGTCATTAAAAGACCAAAATGCTGTCTTCTTTTAACACTACACATCATATTTGATTTAAGTAAAATTCTGAGAAAAGAAGCATTCCATTATATTTTCTGGAGATGAATCCTGCTAATATTAATTTTCTCAGTTAATGTGAAGAACTGGGCACAGTCTGCTTGAGGGATT